AGGGTAGAGGAGAAAAGGAGAGAGGGAGAGAGGAAGAGAGGAGAAGGGGTGGGGGAAGGAAGGTTATCCCCTATAGTTAACGAGCACTTACTTCAGAGAGAAAGGGGTAAAGACTCTCTCTAGGACCAGTCCATCATCTGTTCATATTGGTTTCACTCAAACGGATCAAGACCCATAAGAAAAATGGCTTCAGTTCCACACTTGGGCTTCTCCTTCCTCACAGATCTCTCTTCGATGGACTCATAAAAGGTAGGACTAAGAGCCAAAGACCGGGTACTTCTTGACAGCATCAGCTGGGCAGGCCAATGCTGGACTTCTTAAGTTAACCTCTTTTCTTGGACTGACTCAAACAAGGGCTGCTCAACTCAAGCTCTCCCACTTGCCCCTAATGACACTGAGATTTGGCTTCTAAAATGGCCATCAGTCGGCCATTATTAATAAAAGCGTTCTTGAAACAAATTATCAGTAAAACACTGGAAGCACACCACCAGTAGACTGCAGTCTAATCACCCACTACTCTAAAGACACCGAGCACAGATGAATTACCTTCCACAGGACTCAAACCTATCCTCTCCTCCCCATTATTCTATTCCAAGGTACTACCACGCTCTTTTTAGCCACTGAGACAGCCTCCTAACCAGCCTCCTTGCACCTGCTCGTGCCCCTCCAACCTCGGCAGGTCACACCCCGCTTAAACCCCTCAGTGGCTCTCCATAACACCCAACCCAGTGTCTCCCCAACCCAGTGTCAGCCAGCCATCAGGCCCACAGCTGCCCAAACCCTCCAACCCAAAGCCCTTGGCGCAGCACATCATTTCCAAATTCTTTGTGCCCCCTGGTAACAAATTATAAAATATATAGATATATACAGAAATAAGAAAAAAGCAATGTACAGAAAACTATATGATAGATCAGGAACAAACTCTGTACCTACATATTTCACAAAACCTGATTGTGCTTGAGTGTAAACCAGTACTAAGTAAATTTTTAATAAGGCAGCCCACATTATATTCTTGATCATGAAGAAACAGAGTAAGGCTCAGCCAAATAAACACATAATTAAATACTGCCCAATCATATGAAAATTACAGAGCAGTCTACTCTCTTGAATGTAACCTGGATCAGGAATGAAATTAAGATTAAAGAATGTACTAAATACTTTAAAATGAAAAACTAAAACAGCATATCAAAATTTGAGTACATAAAGTAGTACTTAAAAATAATAAACACCTACCTTTATTAGTAAGAAAACTAAAATATAATGACATAACTATACCTAGAGTATGGAGGAAAATAAAGTAATAAACCAAAGGAAAGAAGGACAAAGAAAATAAAAGTAGAAGCAACACCCTCAACAGAATACTAGCGAATTGAATCCAGCAACATACAGAAAGGATTTTAAGATCAGTATACAAAAATCAACTAATTATATTTTCTGTACCAGTAGTGAAGCAGTGAACAACCTAAAAATAAACTTAAGAAAACAATTCCATTCTCAGTAGCATCAAAAAGAAAAATTACTTAGGAATGAATCTGACAAAAGAAATGCAAAACTTATGCTCTGAAAACTACAAAATACTGTTGAAGGAAATTAAAGATCTAAACAAATGGAAAAACATTCCATGCTAGTGGATCAGAAGATTTAATATTGTTAAGATGGTTATACTTCCCAAACTGATCTACAGATTCAATGTAATCCCTATGAAAATTCCAGCTACCTTCTTTCTAGGAATTGACAAACTAATTCTAAAATTCATGTGGAATTGCAAAGGATCCAGAATGGCCAGAACATTCCTGAAAAAGAAGAAAAAAGTTGAAAGAGTCACACTTTTTTTTGAAAGATTTCAAAACTTATGACAGAGTAACAGGAAATAAGACAGGGTGGTACAGGTGCAAAGATATATACTTATATATATGTACATATATGTGTGTGTGTATATATATGTCTTTGAAAACCAAACCGAACTACATCAAAATTAAAAATTTTTGTGCTTCAGTGTGGCTCCATAGTGTAGTGGTTAGTACATCTGCTTTACATGCAGAAGGTCCTGGGTTCACGCAATTCCACTCCTAGGTATATGGTCAAGAAAAATGAAATCATATGTCTACAGAAAAGCTTGTAAACAAATATTTATAGTACATCAATCATAACAGCCCAAAGGTAGAAACAATGCAAACAGATGTATAGATAAGCAAAATGTGCTATAGCCATGCAATAGAATATTATTTGGCCATAAAAAGGAATGAAGTTCTGATACATGTTACAACTTGGGTGAACCTTGAAAACATTCTAGTAAGTGAAAGAAGTCAGTCACAAAAGGCCACATATTATATGATTCCACTGATATGAAATGGCCAGAATAGTAGAATTGATGGAGACAGAAAGTAGATTAGTGGTTTCTAGAGTCTAGAGGGAGGGAGGGTTGGAAGAAGAGATTGTTAATGGGTATGGAGTTTCTCTTCAGGGTGATAAAAATGTTCTGGAATTAACAGTGGTGATGGTAGCACAACTTTGTGACTGTACTAAAACCAATAATGGTGCACTAGGGGTAAATTTTATGGCATGTTAATTATATCTCATTTTAAAAATTAAGAAAACAATAGACTGCTAATAGTAATCGTTCTTTTTAAAAATTAACAAAATGGATTCAATCTAAAAGGTCAATCATGAAGATGATTTTTTTAGGTTTTGATAATATTAATCATAGCCATTTTTTTATAAATTAAGAGAATCAGATGGCCAAAGCAGAATATACTGAAAGTGATGCCACAAGAAACAGGTTATTTGAACAAGCTAACAAGAGAGGAATGGAAAGCCTTCTAAAAACTTGTACACCCCAATGTCCACCCAGAAAGACCAACAGGCCCTGATGGATTCATTGATAAATTTTTTTAAACTCGCAAATAGGAAGTTATCTACATACACAACCATGAAAATAAGGAACTCCTCCCAATGATCTAGTAGAATTCTTCTCAACTAAACCAGATATATTGAATTATCTGAATATATAGCCATAGGCCTTTAAAAATTTAACTGTACACTTCTAATCAAATGCTTCCAATTATACATTTCACCACAAAGAAAGGGAGTCTGTTCTTTAACCACCTCCTGAAGTTCTTACTGCCCAGGAGCCCTGGCCCAGCCTCGACCCTTGTGGAAGGCCTCCTCTACATCAGCAGTCCCCAACCCTTTTGGCACCAGGGACCGGTGCTCCTATGAGAATCTAATGCCTGATGATCTGAGGTGGAGGTGAGGTGGTGATGCTGGTGCTGGGGAGCGGCTGCAAATACAGACAAAGCTTCGATCGCTCACTCACCGCTCACCTCCTGCTGCGTGGCCTGGTTCCTAACGGGCCACAGACCATTACCAGTCCACAGCCCAGGGACTGGGGACCCCTGTTTTATACTACTAGTGCACTCTTGAACTAGTTAGTAGCTTATTAGCAAATCTGATCACACATGACCTGTGCTCAAAACATTTCTGCAGCCCCTGCTGCTTATATAAAGAAGTCTAAGCCCCTTGACAAGGGACACAAGAATCCTTCCACAACTGGCTCACTTGATTATACCCAGGAAGCCATGCTATCACATTAGACAACTCAAACAGATTCACTCGCAGGCCTTACAGCATCATCATCCAGAAACACTTGGCAAGTCAGTACCTAAAGAATCTCCTCATTTGCGGGGGACTGGCTGCATAGTATTCTTTTATGAAGATTAACAAAGATTTACTTAATTAATGTTCAGGGATGCTTACAGTGCCATCCAATAACAGATGATAGTAGTTATTTTTGTATAAGCCTATAAAAACCTCTTTTTTCCTTTGTCAAAGCGAGTAAAAGTTCAAAGAACACATTTTGAACAAGAGAAAGATTAAGAATCAGTTTACCTGTGATGGGAAATTAGTTTTCTAAGCTCATTATTAACTAAGAGTCAGAGCTATGGACACTGTATACACATCTAGTCAGTTGAGGCCAGGAACTTATATAACAAAGATCACAGCTACTACACAGAGGCCAAACATGCCACACATTCTGGTTAATAACAGAAGACCAGTTTTCACTCAGATCAAAGTAAAAAAGAAAACTAAGGTTCCTAACAATTTGTTGAATCCTGAGCAAGTCTAGATTTCAAGTATTTGAAATTAGTCCATCAGAAAAAAATCTGCAATTGATATTAAATAATCTGGAAAAGACGTAAGGTTTAAGTGCTGCTCCCTCTTTGGAAAAAGCCAACTGTCTTCTCTGTACCACAAACACAAAAAATAGAGAGTGTCAGGGCAAAAACACAGGGACTGTGCCTGCCTCCATGATGGTGTCAGGGTAGCTTGCGCCATGTCACTTCTGCCACTAAAGGAACAAATGGTCTTAAGACCATCTTCTGGAACCCACCAACTTCTGGTGGGGGTTTCTTGCCCCTCCACTGTGCTCAGCCCATGATTGGGCATGAACCGCTGGGTAGAAAAACGCTGAAAGGGTGCCCGGTTGGTAGAGGAGGCCCATCTGCAGGGCCTAGACCATTCCACAAATCTGAGGCTGCTGTTAACCCAAGTCTCGAGCACATGCCCCTATTTATTAATAACTTGCCTCAATCATGTTCCACGTGGGAGGCCACATAAAGACTTTGATCTTTACCATGGTGAAGTAACAAAGGAGCCAGGGTTGGCAGTAGCCTTCCTCCCCGTATTCGCCTGAGTCCCAGGCTGGTCAAGCAAAGGGCAATGGGAGCGAAGGCTACTGAGGTGTGTTCCCACTGGGAGCAAGCTCGGGTCGCTTGGTTGTGACTGCAAACAGTTCAAATTCCATAAATGACAATCACTCGCCAATTAATTGTTGGAATGGAAGCCCATATTATCCTGGCCCAATGACCATCTTTCAGGATCCTCTACCCAGTGATTGGGCTTGCAAACAAAGTCCTCTCCAGCCTCTGGCTGCCACCATGACTCTCACCACAGAATAGATCAGGAGAACAGAACAAATGTTCTCTTAACCAGTGACTCACCAGGAAGTCTGTTCATGTTGACACCTTGAGCTGAGAGTCCTATTCCCATGTACCTTCAAAAAAGCACACATAAAATAATTTTGGTTAGCAAATAATTATGTCAAATATTTCTTGGTAAAAGATGGAAAAAGAGGAATAGCAATAAATGTAGAGATTCTTTTTTAACTAGTGGTTCTTGGAGACTCTTCACATTTTGATTTCTAACAGAAATCATCTCAATGCCTGAAGCAGCGGAAGAAGCAGAGGTAGTTATCTGTAACCATGAACCACTGGCTTAAGTTTCAAAGGAAAGTTTCCTGAAATGACTACTTCCAGTCCCATGGTTTCTGGTTCCAGCTAAGATGGCAGAATCTATTCCTGAGAAGTATCTAAAGTAAGTAGCTTAGTCCTAGGAAGTACTTGGCAGAGCAATGCAAGATCAATCTCACTGGGACATGCCACTCTGCAGCAAGGACCAGGACATGGAAAAAGTACAGGCTGGCTGGATCTCTATAAAATTATCAAGACTCCTCACATGAAGCTTCTTCTCTTGGTATCTCAAAACTCATTACCCTCACCCCATACATCACTGCTGGCCTCCTCAACAATCCAAAGCTGGGGGATGGTGGTATAGGAAGCCCCTGAGACCCACCTCATAACTCCTTCCATCACTAGGTGCCTAAACAGCTAAGCTGCCCAAAGCAAGGTGGACACATGCTGGGCAACTCTGCCAAAGACGTTTCAGTGACACTCAGGAGAGGGCACGTCAAAAAAGAGAATAAACAGGTTTTTTTAGTCTAAGTGTTTATAATGTATAAAGAAATAATAGTGAGGTATTTCCCCAAGAACTCAGAAATAAGAGAAACAAGTCATCACCTTCTAAGAGTAAAACAGTAGAACCCCACACTTGATGCCTGATATTAACCATATGTGAGTGTCAATATGTGGTTGAGGAGCTCAAAATAGTGAAGAAAAAAAAAAAAGGGCTGAGGTATAACTTTATGGTTGCATAACAATGTGAAAGTACTTAATGTCTCTGAACTATACACTTAAAAAATGGTTAAAATGGTGAATTTTATGTTATGTATATTTTACCACAATAAAAAATGTTTTTTAAAGCAATCACATAGAGTTGTCTTATTTTGACAATTTCTAAGTAGCTGTACATTTACTTTTTTTTTTGGCCAATTTTGTTTATTTTCTAGAGTGGAGATGAGGTCAAAGTATAAATCATGTCTCTTCCTTTTTTTCAGTCTTTGTGAGATTCTCCTAATTTCTTTGTTTCAATCATTTCAGTTAGGTATAGCTTTTTTTTTATCATTAGTTTCAAGTATACAGTACATTGATTAGACATTTAAATAGTTAATGAAACGATCCCTTTATTATTTTCTATTCTAGGTAATTCTGCAAGGATCCCTCCCACATACATTTCTCTATCTTGGACTATTTCATTCCTCTCCTAGCATGCTCCATGCACCTATGTACCTGTTTCCTAACACTACCAGAGTCCCCACGACATGGCGCTCCTGTCCTTGCAAGTCCCTCATCTGCAGTAAATGCCCTTTTGCCCTTCTCTGGCTGGCTGTGCCCCTGGGTTTTAGGAGAGCAGCCTCAACCACCCAAATAAAGGATAAGGCAGGAAGGGAAGGCTCTGACCCAATGACCTTCCTCTGAAACCAGCTATCCACATCATGGTGGGCAAGAACCAATAAAAGGCATTGACAAACACATGGTCCTGGCAACTTGGCCTGCAGGGATTAGGGAAAATGGGAGGGAAGGTAAAGGAGAAAAGGAACAGACTTCAAAAAGGGACTTCCATGGCTCAAAGGACCAGGAGACTCACCAACTGTCTGCTATCTCCTGCCAGAAGTGGACCTTCAAGGACCATCAGGTGCAGAAGCTGTGAAACCCAATGGCAAGATTCCCATAAGATTAAAACCTGCATATTTTCCCAGAAAAAATGCAGCTCAAATAATTAGCTTCCTTACTTTACGTGGCAGAGGCTGCCAAAAGCTGGTCTTCATCCCTCAATGCCTCAGCTGACCAAGTAGCAAATGACCCCAACTGTCCTGCAGCCATCAGTCCAACATATACAAATGCAACAGAGCCAAGGGTTTACCTGACTTGGATGCCAACCCACCATCTTGCCCTATTCAGAGTGGCCTGAGCTGCTGCCCAACACCAAATATGATATCATCTCTGGCATACAGGTTTCCTGATGCTAAGATGAGGGCTTGTGTTTGGAGCATATGTGCTGCTGGGTGACCCTTGACCACTGAAGGCTAGTGCAAACAGGAGAGATAAAGGACCATCCAAGAAAGGTATGCTTAGCCACCAGCGACAGAGCTCTGGTTCTACAATTTTCCATGGGAATGGGAAACTACTAAGGCACGTGTGCTCAAAACACAAGCTGCTTAGGCCTCCCCGTATGGGCAGCTTCTTCTACCTCTGGCAGCTAGCCCTCAACATCTTCCTACACTCTCTGCCCCACAGATAGTACAGTATTTACTAGTGGATAAATTGGGAGCTATACAAACCCCAGACTCAACTTCAGAATCCGAGTGGATGAGCTAAGGGTAGAGCAGCCAGAGGAGGCCAATACCCGCACTTGGGTGCCCTGCCACTTCCAGGCATCCATGACACAGGGAGCAGCCCCACAGGAACCTAAATTGCTTACTCATATGCAGTCAAAGCTGAATCAGTGTTCAAAGGGAATGAGTCCCAATTCTTCAAACACCAGGTGACATTAAGTTTTTTCCAAAAATTTGATGTTCTAAAACTACAAAAAATGCAGGCTTCTAACTTCCAGCAAGTCTATATACATTTGAAAAGTATTATCCAATCAGTCTGAGGTAAGTAAAGAGGGTTAAGAAACTATAAGGATCCCGTGATTACACTAAAAAAACCCCCATTGAATTGTATACTTTAAATGGGTAAACTGTACAGAATGTTAAATTATATCTCAATAATACTCAACGAACTAGAAATAAAAGGAAATTATCTCAGTATAATAAAAGCCATATGAGAAAAACCCACAGTTAACATCATATTCAATAGTGAAAGACTGAAAGAAAGCTCTTCCTCTAAGATCAAGAAAATGATGCTTGCTTTTGCCATTTCTATTCAACAGAGTATTGGAAGTTCTAGCCAACGCGATCAGACAAGGGGGAAAAAGGCATCCAAATTGGAATGGAATAACTGAAAATATCTATGATCACAGATGATGTGAGCTATATGGAGAAAATCTTAAAGATTCCACAAAAACAGTTATAGCTAATAAATTCAGCAAAGTTGCAGAATATAGAATCAATATGCGAAAATGGTTGTATTTCTACATACTAACACTGAACAATCTAAAAAGGAAAGTAAGAAAACAATTCCATTTAAATAGCATCAAAAAGAATAAAATACTTAGGGATGAACTTAACCAAGAAAAACTTGTATACTGAAAACTATTAACACTGAAAGAAATTAAAGAAGACACAAATGAATGTAAAGACATCAATGTTCATGGATTAGAAGACTTAATACTGTTAAGATGTCAATACTACCCAAGGCAATATACATGAGAGAGTCAATGCCATTCATATGAAACCTCAAGAGACCCTGAATAGCCAAAACAATCTTGAAAAAGAAGAAAAAAGTTGGAGGATTCACACTTTCTGATTTCAAAACTTAACTACGAAGCTATGATCATTAAAACAGTGTTGGTACTGGCATAAAGAGCAACATATAGACCAATGTAATGGAATTGAGAGCCCAGAAATAAATCCACTGACATGTGGTCAACTGATTTCAACAATGGTTCTAAAACCATTCAACTGGAAAAATGACAATATTTTCAATGAATGGTGCTGAAACAACTGAATATGCACATGTAAAAGAATAAATTTAGACTCTTACCTTATACCACATGCAAAATTAACTCAAAATGAGTCAAAGACCTAAATGTAAAACCTAAAACTATAAAATTCTTAGAAGTGTTGGTGAAGATTTAGAGAAATTGCAACTCTTGTGTATTGATGGTGGGAATGCAAAATGGTGCAACTGCTGTGGAAAACAGTATGGCAATTAATTACATAGTAATTATAAGTTTTAAAATTCAAACATAGTATTACTCTATGATCCACCAATTCCACTTCTGGGTATATGCCCAAAAGAACTGAAAGAAGGGACTTGAACAGATATTTGTACACTCATACTCACAGAAGCATTATTCACAAGAGCCAAAAGGCAGAAGCAACCCAAGTGTCCAGTGGATGAACTGATAAACAGAATGTGGTATATACACACAATGGAATATTATTCAGCCTCAAAAAGGAAGGAAATTCCGACACATGCTACAACATGGATGAACTTTAAGGACATTACCCTAAGTGAAATAAACCAGTCACAAAAAGACAAATATTGTATGATTCCACTTATATAAGGTATCTAGAGTAGTCAAATTCATAGAAACAGGAAGTAAAATGATGGCTGCCAGGATCTAGCAGGAGGAGAAAATAGAAAGTTAATGTTTAATGGGTATAGAGTTTCAGCTTGGGAAGATGAAAAAAGTTCTAGAGGTAGATGGTGGTAATGGTTGCAAAACAGTATGAATGTTCTTAAATACCACTGAACTGTACACTTAAGAATGGTTAAAGGATAAATTTTATGTTATGTATAGTTTACCACAATAAAATAAACAAACATATATCAATACTACTGCTTTAAAAAAAAGTAGTCCACCATCATCACATAGTAGCCCACCATCATTGCTGTAACATTCATTATTACATAAAGTCTTGTCTTTTCTTCAAGCTTGGTGATTTAGAATCCAGGGAGACAGTATCTTTACCTGCCCTGTCTTTCAAAGGTGTCTTTCAAAGGTGTCATCTCTGGCCCCGAACAACAAAAACCCAGCACCTAGATATGTGCTTATTCAGTTCTGATATTGCCCCCAAAGAGCAATTCCAAACCCAAACATCCAAGCACAAGAGATGGAGCCTAAGTTTACAGGCTCCAACATCAGGTCTGATGTCACAGTGGACAGAACAGTTGCAATGCCTGCTACCCACTTTAGGATGCAGGGGCT